GTCAATTCTTCTGAACAAATGTCGAAAGGCCTGTTACTGTAAGATCGCGTGGGGATGGCTGGAACGCCCACAATAAAACAATTTGATTAAAACACAGATCCTATTTCGTTTCGTTTTAAATAGTTCCAAATTCCGTTTTACTTACACTAGCATTTGGAAGCGTTGTTATATAACCCACATTCTGGTTGATGTGAGGAATTAGCCCATGAAACAGTCTGTTGCAGCGAGTTTTTGGCGTGCGATGCACAGAACTGTGGATATCCTACTAGAAACATCAACGCTGGTTAGTTAATCAAATGTCTGACGTCATAGGGTCAAAAGCTACTCGTATGACCAATGACTCGACGTTCCACCACAACTGGTCAGATCTTCATATAGTAGAGGCCATCGATAGTATAATAAAATATAGATCTGTATTTTAATCAAATTGACAATAAGACCTAGTTATGTCAAAGAGGATCTTAAAAACGCTAACCCCCTTTGATATCGTTTGTTATTTCGAATAGTAATAAGTTCTATGCGGTTATTATCAAGAATTACGTGAATCTCGATGATTCATGCTACCTTTTTAACAACTGTAACCGATCTGTGAATCACAGCCCCCCCCCCCCCTACTTCAGGTTTAACACATTTCAACAATTGAAGCGGAAACGGTATCAAAGTGGTTACGTTTGTTTTGTTGCTATGTATTCATTTCTGATTGTAATATAAATGTATCTATCATAATAGAAAAATATGACAGCCTAAATGTTTCAAGGTCGGTTGCTGACATGGAAAAAAACGCAAACCTCATTATGTTTTATAAAAAAAAAGCAGTTTAAAAATTATAGGAAATTTAACGAAAACAAAGCTTTTTAAAAATTTTAGTAAATAGTGTTAAAACTAAGGCAAATGTTTTGAAGGTAAGGTGATGTAAACATTATGGTAAATGAGTTAAAAGACAAAACGGTGTATATAGTAAATGTGTTAAAAGACAAAACGGTGTAAAGATGTGAAAACTATTTAAGTGAGTTAAACACAAAGCTGGGTAAAGACTATTTTAAATGAGTTAATGCCATGTGTACAATTTATGGTAAATGAGTTGAATACAAAGAGGAGTAAAAATTATGTTAAAGTGATGTAAAACTATTAAAGTTAGTTAATTACACAGTTGGGTAAAGAATAATGTAAATGAGTTAGATGCAAAGCGGGATACAAAAAAACTATTTTAAATGATTTTATGGCAAATCGGGGTGAAATTAAAACTATTTTAATTGATTTTAAGGCAAAGCGATGTAAAAACTAAATATGTTAGCGCCAACACAGCGTAAAAGCTATAGTAAATGAGTTAAATACAATGTTATGGTAGAAAAATGTGGCAAAGGAGTTAAAGACAAATAGGTCGTAAAAACTATGGTAAATGACTTAAATATAAAGCGGAAACGTAAAAAAATAAACTTTGGCAAATGAAATAAAGACAACTATCGTAAATGAATAAATACACAGCGGAGATGAAAAAATGTTTTGGTAAATTAAAGACAAAGCAGTGTGTAAGACAAGATAGGGTAAATTAAATGAAGATATAAAGCGGAAGCAATTATCTTAAACCTTGCCACTTCCCATGTTTATTATTTGTTTTGATTTGTTTACACGATATTCTGTAGGTGATATTAACACTAATAAAGAATTGCGCAAAGGTGAAAAACATTGAAAATGTCAAGGTGAACACATGAATTAGACACAAACCAAATCTTTCTTCTTTTATCCGACGCATATTTAAAGTAATATCCCCTCATGTTATAGTCTTATTCTTTTAATACCTTTTTTTAAAATGTCCTATTTTTTTTATTCATTTACCATTCATAATGTTCACACAATGGTCAGAACAATTACAGTTGACGAATACTAACTTGCTGATAAAAATAATTATAGTTAGATTTTACCTAAAACTCACTGACAATCACCAAAAACCTACATACCAATAAGAAGATTGGAGTTCAGCAAAAGCTGGTTTTTGCTTATCTGATTGGTTATTGTGTAATTATTGTTATGATTCTTATTTGCGATCTTTTTTTAATATCAGTATTAAGTGACTGGTTTGAATTTTTTGTTTTAGCATGACTCGTTGAACTTTAACTTAGCTGAAGTCAAAACGTAAAGTCAATGATGACACTGTTGAACAGTCGCCATTTTAAGCCAAAACCGAAAATTAATCAACAAGAAATATTCGAAATGAAAATTTAGGGCTTGTCACATTTACTAAACGAAATAATACAGCAGATCAATCCAATCCCAGACTTCAATTTGACCTAATTCAGAAGGGACTTGGCTCCTTTTTTTTTTATTAATTATTGATTTAAAAATATTCGAGGTCATGTGTATATCAGTTTTATTACTTTCTTACACTCGCATATTATTCAAATTATGTTATTGTTATTAAAAGTCAGGTTTACACCCATCCATTAAATACTCGTGGTCAACTGTTCTCTAATCATGTCCACCGTCATGTTCTTTTCGTACTTGATTTATCAGCCGTGTGCTATACCTGTAATTCATGCTTTTGTTTACAACATAAAGCAAGTGCACCTGGCCACAGGGCAACCACATTGTTTGTATAAATTTATTTGGCTTAACCATCAAACTTTATCGTGGGAACATGCATACACACATTCAACAAGAGGGCAATAACACATTCTTTGGTGAAAAAATAGTTTTAGCATGTCAAAATCCAGCCCGGTAACTTCAAATCAACATGTATCACCATGGACGAAATTATTTTATGTAAATAGACAAATATAAAATGATTAATTATAGATTTGACAGGTGGACAGATTAAAATGATTATACCGCTTTGATCGATTTCATTAAATGCGACGTGTTGATTTTTTATGATATGGAGAAACAGTCCCAAACAAATTTTAAAATTAATTGACAAATCAACGTCCGCTTATTATTTGGAAATGAAAATTAAATCGTATAGTTCTTGATCCACTATTAATCGGAATGCCAAATCAGATCAACCTAAATTCAATACTTTATTTTTACCTAAATCAAAAAGGATTATCTCTTTTAAATTATTCAACATCTGAACGTGAATTATCGTTAGAAATCCTTTATAAACATACGCCTTTTTGAATGGAAATTGACTTTATCGTTACTTAATTACCAAATAAACTCATCAGTATAGTTTGCATTAATGACATAATGGAGATTCACGGTGGCTTGGTGAGTAAGGCGCTTGCTCGCCTACCAGGATGTTCTGGGTTCGATCCTGGTGTTGGCTAAGAATGTTTCTCGGGATTCTCCGGCCTGTTCCCCTTGTCAGCGGTGCTGGGCGGTGGGCCTGACACAAAAAAAACTTCTTGTCTTTAGGATGGGAAGAAAAATCATGGCCCCGTTTTCATTATGCCATGGCAGCTAAAAATCGAAATGAATATCGAACGTAGCGCCACTTTCGGCGCGAAATTGCCCCCATTTCATTCTCTAATGACATATTTTGGATATGGTTTCTCGTTTGGTCGAATTATTTTTTTCCTAATATAAAAAATAATCAAACGTTGTCAGATTGTCATAACGACAACATGACAATTCAAAATGTCTAATTTGATTTGATCAGATGGTTGATACCATAGCAGAAATGACATGAAATGAAATGGGGTTATACGTCCTTCTATTCTGCTCCGACTGTGCTAATGAAGAGGGAGGTATCATAGCCTTATATAATGTAAGTTGTCTAGATGTAGTACATGATGAGGTAGATACTATCTGTCGACAATTCAAAATGTCTAAACCCCAATTTGAGTAAAATATAAATTTGTCGATTTTATTAAATTGTGTGTCGCGATTTATTTTACTGAGTGATTATCTGTCCACATTTAAAATTGCAGGTCCACAAGACAATGTTAAGATAAAACGTGGTTTGTGTCGACCACTAAAATTATTAGACAAACAAAAATTGAATTATACAGATTGTTTCTCATCACTAATCGAAACAACACATCGGACAACCTGAACGTAAAGCTGGGTGGCTGTTTTTGTTGCGATAATTAAAAAATAGATAATGTAAAATGAAGATAATAAAAAATGAAAATAATGAAAATGAAGATAACAAAAAATGAAGATAAAGAAGATTGCCAAGTACCATTGCTACTATAAAAAACAGTCTCGATTATCCATTTTAACATTACTTAATAAATCCCGGCCATCCGATAGTCTATAGAGTTGATTATGGGCTCGTCATGTGAATAATCGATAGTTTATATAACATTTTAATCTAGCAAAAAGACCAGCAATAGGCAGATTTAGCTCTTACATAATGCACCTTTAACACATTATTTCGATCAAAATTAAAGGTTTGGCTCTTTAGTTGAAATTAATCAATGCTGCAAGTTGGGCATGAGACCGACTTTAAATGTTGGGGGGGGGGGGGCTGCAAATTGGGAATTAAAATCGCATAATTCATAAAAAAAAATACAAAGTACGAACATGATATATTTATTTTCAAACCATAATGGTGTCATTAGTATCGAAATACTTATTTAAAAGAAAATAACAAACCTTTGTTGTTTTCATTTTATGGTTTTATAACCAAACTGTCATTGTATTTATATATAGATGTGTCATTTCTTTATATGATACAAGTCATTGTATTTTAATTTATTTGCAACAGACTAGCCTGTGAAACTGACACTATGACTAAATACGAATTTTACATTAAGGTGTCATACTCCATTATTTCTGTGTGAATAAAATTTAAGTTGCCACTTCCTTCTACAATCCATCAAGCATCATTATCTTACAGTTATAAATGGCTTAGCCTTTAATTGGTTTATCCCGAAATTCCTTACGCTACATTATTACTTAACCAGCCCAACATCAAAAATAGAAATACTTTCGCATACATGTGGGCTTTAACATTAGAAGTTCCTCGGTGTTGGTACTGAAAATCAACTGGGAAAATAAATTGTTTATCGCTTAAAGGAAGGGAAGACTTGATGACTTGTGGCATCAGCATTTGTTTCAATACTGACCAGAGAACAGGTATAACCTATATTAATTAAATCATCTCCGAAAAATAAATTGAACATGATTTGTCAAATAATGTCAACGCTTGGTTTCAGTGCTACGACGCCATAGCCCAGGACTGTACAGCATATTTGAAGCTTATAACTGGTCCCCGAATTCATTCACTTGATTTAATGTTTGATGCTTGTAATTTCTGTGCAGTTTGTGCCCCCACCCCTTGGACTAACTAATATGGCTTCTTAGAAATTTTAAAATGATACAAATGAAAGTATCAAGTATTGGTTTGAATCTGTGAGTAATGACAGGTACGCCACTTGTTACAAATATATAAAAGAAGTAACAACCAAAATATGTACTAAATACGCTGTTTATCTACCCCTAGGGTACAGCTGTAGGTATCACTGTATGATGTAGGTATCAATCTCCTTTTAACTTTGACCCTTCAACAACCTTTATACCTGAACTAGTGGAGTTGATAACTAATAATCTCTTTATTCAAAGAGGGGCTATCCCCAGGGCAGATAACTACCATATGAATATTTATTGAGCCTATCAATATCGAGATTATTAAAGAATGTAACAGAGTCAGTCAACCAAAACATTAAGATTATAGGCTATTCGACCACGTATACTTCAAAAACAACTACAGGCTATTCAACTGAAAATTGCTCTTTTAGAATTTATATCCGTTTGAATAGAATTATTAAATATTGTATTAGACACGAAAAGAAACTTGATTCAGCGATTGGTGGGTGGAGAAGAAATTGGTATTATTAACGACTTTAAATGTGTAAACGGATATATTAGATTATTAAAAACCATCGCCTCTCCCATATGATTTTTTAAATAAATCCCCTGTCCATGCTAAAACCGGAACTAGCTGTACAGGAAATGAAGAGTGCCAATATTTTATGATGTTGTGCTTCGATGATTTGTAGGCTCAAAATCTGATTGGTCTCAATTATACTACGGAATGTAAACAATTTAACACACACATAAACCAGCGACCATTTTAAAACACAAAGAGAGTAAGGGGTGGGGTGTTAACGTCCAATCGACAGAAACTGGGTCGTTTCGGAATTAAGATATGGGTTTAAAGCAGTGTGAGGAATCAGGGGAACCGGAGAGAACCCATGAGGTTGGACAAACGACCCTATTCCTTGTCACGTACAAGCGGAGAATCGAAACGACACCACTTGATCCAGTGATAGACCATATGGTCCAATGCGCATTAGAATAGTTGCCCACCCCACCCGCTTTCAAAATGAGAGAAGAAGAAACTACACCATTGTCTGCGATATTAAGCAGATGGCAGCGGACGTAGAAGACCACTATTTGCAACAATAAAGAGTGGTCCATCGTGTGCGGTGGAGATCATTAGTTGTGTTAACTATGCAAGTCAAGGGTTCGATCCCGTGTTTGTGCGTGACGAGGAGTCATGTCCCTCCCTGATCTCGTGAATGTCCTCCGGGTACTTCATTAGTTGTGTTAACTATGCAAGTCAAGGGTTCGATCCCGTGTTTGTGCGTGACGAGGAGTCATATCCCTCCCTGATCTCGTGAATGTCCTCCGGGTACTTCGTTTTCTTTCCACTACTAAAGACACCAGTGCTCAAGCAAATTATTGAAATAAAATATGAAATAATGTTAGTTCCAAAATGACCTGGTTAGAGTTGAACGTCATCTAAGACTATATGAAAAGGGGAATAACTCGTATTTTCAGTCGATGATTTACCTGCAATGAAGCATAGTTGTCATTCAGCTCATTACGTGTCATATATCTTGAGGGTATACTTATTCTGGCTATCATTAAAATTGATAAAAGCCGATACATTTCGACTGATGATAATCAGTGTCAATAGTCGTATATTATACAGCATATATCGTTACATATCTATATAGCTGAAGGCTACTTATCACCACCCAGCGAACATCAATCACGTGATATGTTTTTACCCGCTGGCCACTTCCATATAGAGTGTTTAATGACTTTATACCAAGATGACTTGTTTTGATATATAGATATATTATTTAAGTTACTAAATATAGCTCTGCAATATTCTCACTCTTTAACTATTAGACTCCCCTTGAGAAGTATGAAGTTGATGGATCTCCGTGTGCACTGTGCAGTATAGCTATTTGGGAGCAAATATTTCAGGTAATAAGGCCGTAGATCTTATTTGGAAGATTACTTCCGAATAAATTCTCCACGGCACCGACTGATAGGGAAAACCTCTTGGTTGGTCACAAAAATGAACCCATAGTCAAGCCGTCAAAACGGCACTTACAAAACATTTGTTATGTGTTGTTTAATGGTCGAGAGCGAGACATTAAGTAATATATTGTAACAACAAGAGGACCGTCAGGTCCGAGTGTTTTTACAATATATTACGCAATGTCTCAGCTCGAGACCATTAAACATCTTAAAATACAGACACTCCGCACGTGCGTTTACAGTGAAATACGTCACTCGAGTCTAATATTTGACAAGGTACGATTGGCAAGTGGCCCGTACGATTATTTGAAATAATGGTACGCCAACATCAAAGGGTGACGTCACATCTGTATTTTAAAATTTTATAAGAAGTATTCATGAAATAAACATTGATGAGACTCAAACTAACAAATCATTGCTAGTGTGAGGAAACTGTATATAGTGCCCTGAAGAAGACATACTGTGTAATTGATCACAAAAAGACTCCATCCGTTTTCAAGTCGCCAAGGTGACCCTTACCAAACATTTGTTATCTCAGAGTTTTTATGAAATAAACCAAAGTTTTCATGAAAGAAATCAAAGTTTTCATTAAAACTTTTTCAAGAAAGAAATCAGAATTTTCATGAAAGAAACATGGACACTGGCCAATATTTCAGACCCCAAATCTGACGAATCATGGCTAGTGTGCGGAAACAGTTGATCCCGGTAAATCGTAATAATTTGTTTCATCATTCAATTACAATTGTCGATGACAAGGGGTGAACAAAAATGGACACAATTCCCGATACCAAATAAGGAAAGAAAAAAAAACGATTTTAATTATTTGCGTGTAAAGATATTGTATCATCGGTCTTTACAAGTAAGACATAATAGACCAAATTGTGAATCGTCCTCGACGTCCTTTCCATTGTATTCGTTTACATAATTAAACAAAAACGTTAAATAACCTTTTTCTCGATAAACAGTACAAAGCTATATAGGAGGGGTCTTCTTTTTTGTTCTATGTAGAAAATAAAACGTCCTTCTAAATAATATTTGAAATATTTCTATACAATAAGAAAAAACAGATTTATTATGAAATATAGAGTTGTATTTCGTGTGAAATGTACGCCTGGGTGAATATTTGGAAACATGATGTAAATTATACAATTATCTTTATACATTGCTTACGATTGCTACAAGTTTTAAACGCCCATATCCAGCTTAATAACACAAAATGTATCCCACTGCACCCAAAAATAAACTCTCAACAATTTGATTATAATGGAAATATTGTAATCGATGTAAGCATTCGGAAATTCCTTAATAATTTGGTGTATCTCGAAGACTTGAGGATTTCAAGTAACTACAAGAACATTTCTATATGACCCCATCGCCCCCCTTTTTTTAAAAAGGGATCACCAATTAGGCCTCATCAATTTGAATATCTGTTCTTCGGGAAAACCTTTAAAAGAGCACACTCTAGTTTATTCAGTTAAAAATAAATGAAAACAAACAGTACTTAGTTACTCTTAGTAGCTTTCAGTTCCAAATATTTAAAGTTTTGAAATTTAACAAAACACCGTACATATCATTAGTGGGTTATTTATTGGTCAAAACCCCGGGAAAGTAAAAATTAAAATTTGTTTGGTCTTACTGTACAAATGGGTTAGTAAGCTAGCCTCCAACACGAACCCCTAAACCAGGCAAATATGATTCTAGCCCTTTTAAAACAAAAGCTAGAAATCATTTAACGATGAAGACTTGCCGGGCAATAAACATCTTTATGTAAACTTCCAGTGATGGATTGTCAACGTGAACATATCCCCAACAGAAAACGGAAAATGATGGCTGTTGTGGGATTTGGCGATATCCATGGATTCTTATTAAATAACAAATATTCGTTATGGTCGTTATGACTACTCTATAGTCGTTTTGACTAAAAGGTACGTCCGCTTTGACTAAATATTAGAGCCTCAGAAACAAACTGTCTTCAACTTTAAAGTAGCTAAGTCTCTAACTCAATATCATCCTAAATCTTCAACATTGAAAACACGAATTATTTGTCAATTTAAAACAACATTGATGCTGTGATCTTACCGGAAAAAGATGGGCTTCTGATATCCAACATTTAAGACAAAATAAATATTTTACCATTGGTACATGAATCGTGTACCATAATGCGTTTCAGCCCCAGTTCTAGCAAGAGACTCGAGGAACGAGGCTAGACATATTGCACCAAACCAAACGGCATATGTAGACTGGAATAACCAGACGCTAGGAATTTGCATTCGCTGGCTTATTTCACGGAACATAACTGATTTGAAATTAGAGTAAAAACGGAAACGATTGAATGTAAATCAGTTTATATACATTCATATTACAGTATTATATGAGTTGTGACCCACTTGTGTCAATTTCTAGGTCCCAAATGTTAGCGATTTAGCTCCTTTAAGTTTCACTGAATATTTTGATTGAATTGAAGTCTACCGTTATTACTTTGATATTGTCGTCTTCTTAGTCAAATGCTAAATAATTAATTTGGGTGCCTTATAGCGTGGATTAAGTCGTAGGAAGTTCGATATTTTGCGAAAAATGAAAATGACGATCAACAGCTTTAAGGGATAGTCCTGCTTTTCAGTTTAAATTTTAAAAAAAAGCTTTGTAATTTGCTAACATAAAATAATTGATTCCAAGAAGCCAGACAACAAGTTAGATCCGCGTCTATTCACCCAGAGAAACCGGATATTCTCATCCTGGAGTTATTTTCATTTAATGCGTTCCACCCTTCATACTAATTGCGATATGTAGCTTAACTGAAG